AAATTTTAAAATGATAGAAAAAATAAAAGGCTTTTTTAACTGAATTCATTAAATAATGAAAAAAATCCCAGGGCTATGGAAAATTATTTATGTTCTGAATAAAGCTTTGGTACAATCATTCAGGGGCATAAGGAAAATTTATATTAAAGAATGAGATCTTTTTATATATAGGAAAATTTAATTTTGATGCTTTTTTCGAAAAAACCCTAGAATCCAGAGGGAGCAAAAATGTTTAAATTCAAAAAAGGGTTTCCCGAATAGAAAAAAAATACTAAGTTTAATTTTTACGGGTGTACTTGTCTATATACCAGGCCCGTAAAAAAAACTGTTCATGATTCATTACAACACAACAACACAATGAAAAATTTCATGTTCCGTGGGGAACATTAAGTTTTTCCTTGTACACCTGATCCCTTAACTCAAAAAAGGAGTCTTCCCCCCTAACCCAGAGCTATGTTGGAAAATTGCCTGAAAAATAAGTTTTATAACTGAGATTATAAAACAAGAGGGCCATGATGGCCCTGAGGCCGCTCACCTGTATACAGGCCCCCAGAGTGGGGCTAGTTTAAACCGTAGGGCTTTTATTTGAACAAGCTTGGTAGACACCCATTAGAAGATGTTTCATGAGATCACAAAAGCTCACCCTGTCACTTTGTGACAGGTGAGCTAAAAATACAATGTATTCTATTGCATTAATTTCAATTTTCTTATTTTTAAGACAAAATATCCCTCAGGAATGTTTTTATTTTTATTTCACAAAAGTATTTTTAGTTATGGTGTTCTGTTGTATTTTACAGACAGTTTATAACTCATTGGCCATTTCACAACTGAACCATATTTTGGTTTTATTGCCTTCTGTGAATTAGAAACATTATAAAGACTTAGTATTTTGGTTTGTACAGAATTTATTTAAGTTTGATTGTGTATGAAGCGATAAGCCTATAATAGACAAACCTTGAACCAACCAGTACTTAGTGTAAATGTGTGTAAAATTTCCTGCTTAAGGAAACAAGGGCTAATTAATGCCTCCGACAGTTTTAACTCTTCTTATTAACTAAATTCTACAAGTTTCTAGCAAGGATATAAAGGCTGGCCTGGCCCTATAATGATGGCAAAGCATGCCACCTAGTTACAGCAGGGTAAGGGTCAACATGTATAGATGTCAGTTACTTACAGCAATAGTTTTAATGTGTGCTGATATCCTGGTTCCCGTTAAATCCTCTCTGATGGCTATATATATACATGTATGGTACGTATGTTATAAAGTAAAATATACCCTCACATGCTGCAGCAAGTTTAGCTCGCAAGAACATACAAAAACCTGAAATACAGCAGAAAAACAAGAAAAGAATTTAGACGCTTTTAACTCAATTTTGGCTACAATCACACCAAATATTGATCTTCGATTGAATTCAGAGTATATTTTCTTATTATTTTTTTTTCATATTTCTCCCTTTACTCTATGTATGATTTTTAAATTTCATGTTTTCAGGTCTATTTCCTTTAAGTGATATACTTACAAAAAAGCAATAGAAGACGGGGCAAACATTTCCAGGAACATAAACACTATGAGGTAGTACACGTCCATATTATAGCATCAACATCAGCGTTACCACAGTAACAGTCATCTGTACAGCGGCAGTTATAAACCACGCCCACCAGTGCACACTATCTGATAAGCCCATCATCTGCGTTACCTGTATGAATAAATTTTATAGTACATGTGTATAGTAGTGAGATACATGAAATAGAGAAAATGAGAATCCCTAAAGAAAGCCCAACATGGCAAAATTGAAAATGTTGCAGGCTCAGTTTAATTGATCCTGTTCATGAACGATACTGTCGAGTGCAAACCAACCTCCATGACCCCCTAGCACAGGCTTAAGCAGGATTCATCATTTAATCATGAAATGGCAAAATTTTGAATTTTGGAACATCTGCAGATGTGTTCATATGGCGGAAAGATGGAACCTTCAATGTGACACAGTAGTGCCATTCCATGAAAAGCGGCGTATGGTCCCAAACAGTGTGCCCTAAACAAGAAAACAATCAGCGAAACTAAATAAAATTAATTTTGAAAGGGGATCAGAGTTTATGGACTCATGAAAGCATTTTATAAGGGTAGCGGTGGCCTAGTGGTTAAAGTGTCTGCCTCTCAACCAAGAGGTCACGGGTACGAGCCCTACTTTGGTCACGACCATGTTTCTTCATCTGACACCTGTACTGGTTGGTTCCAGGAAGCAGACTCGAAAGTGATTAATATAAGTTGTAAGAACTTGTTTCGCAATCAAGCTTAAATAAATATGTTTACACCATGAGTGTATTTTAACATGTATCGTTTATCATATAATCATAATTCACCCTATATCACTCATTGTTGATCACTCATATAAATATATCATATATCACTCATTGTTGATCACTCATATAAATATATCATATATCACTCATTGTTGATCACTCATATAAATATATCATATATCATATATCACTCATTGTTGATCACTCATATAAATATATCATATATCACTCATTGTTGATCACTCATATAAATATATCATATATCATATATCACTCATTGTTGATCACTCATATAAATATATCATATCATATATCATATATCACTCATTGTTGATCACTCATATAAATATATCATATCATATATCATATATCACTCATTGTTGATCACTCATATAAATATATCATATCATATATCACTCATTGTTGATCACTCATATAAATATATCATATATCACTCATTGTTGATCACTCATATAAATATATCATATCATATATCATTCATTGTTGATCACCCATATAAATATATCATATCATATATCATATATCACTCATTGTTGATCACTCATATAATTATATCATATATCATATATCATTCATTGTTGATCACCCATATAAATATATCATATCATATATCACTCATTGTTGATCACTCATATAAATATATCATATCATATATCACTCATTGTTGATCACTCATATAAATATATCATATCATATATCATTCATTGTTGATCACTCATATAAATATATCATATCATATATCACTCATTGTTGATCACTCATATAAATATATCATATATCATATATCACTCATTGTTGATCACTCATATAAATATATCATATCATATATCACTCATTGTTGATCACTCATATAAAAATATACAGCAACTTCATTTATTTTTTTGTTTACAGAATATTCTGCTTCAGTGTGACATTTTAATAAACAAGTATACTATAATAAATATACATTCATAAATGCTTGTAAAACATTTCATGGAAACCAAAAAAAAACAAACTTAATAACCATTTGAAGGAAAATCAACAAGAAATACCAAGCATGGAAACAAAAGTCATTTGAAAACAAATAAACAAGAGGGCCATGATGGCCCTGAGGTCGCTCACCTGTGTATAGGGCCCCGGAGCGGGGCCAGTTTAAACCCAGGGCTTTTATTTGAACAAACTTGGAAGACACTTAGAAGATGTTTCACAATGTTAAGTTTTTATTTCACAATGTTAAGTTTTTACTACACACATATAATGAAAAACAATGATCTCTCCTCCCCCCCTTTCTGGCAGGGCCAATTTTCACCCTAGGGCTTTTATTTGAACAAACTTGGTAGACATCCATAAGAAGATATTTCATGCTAATCATCTAAGCTCTAGCTCATTGGGTTTTTTAAAAGAAGATTTTTAAGTTTTTACTATACACATATAGTTAAAAACAATGACACCCCTGAGGCGGGGCCAGTTTTGAACCCAGGGCTTTTATTCAAACAAACTTTGTAGACACTTACTAGAAGATGATTCATGCTTAATATCTAAACTCTAGCTATTTGGGTTTTTTCAAAGAAGATTTTTAAATTTTTACTATATGCAAATAGGGAAAATCAATGACCTCCCCCCCCCCCCCCAGGGCGGGGCCAATTTGACCCAAAGGCTTTTATTTGAACAAACTTTGTAGACACTCACTAGAAGATGTTTCATGCCTCATATCTAAACTGTAGCTATTTGGGTTTTTTCAAAGAAGCTTTTGTAAGTTTTGCTATACACATATAAGGAAAATCAATGACCCCCGGGGCGGGCTTATTTTGACCCCAGGGCTTTTATTTGAACAAACTTGGTAGACAGCCATTAGAACATGTTTCATGCTAAATATCTTAGCTCTGGCTCTTTGAGTTCTTTACAAGAAGATTTTTTAAGTTTTTACTATATGCATATAGGGAAAATCAATGACCCCCCGGGGCGGGGCCAATTTTGACCCTAGGGCTTTTATTTGAACAAACTTGGTAGACACCCATTAGAAAATGTTTCATGCTAAATATCTTAGCTCTAGCTCTTTGGGTTCTTTAAAAGAAGATTTTTTCATTTTTTACTATTTACATATAGGGAAAAACAATGACCCCCCGAGGCGGGGCCAATTTTGACACCAGGGATTTAATTTGAACAAACTTGGTAGACACTCACTAGAAGATGTTTCATGCCAAATATCTAAGCTCTAGCTCTTAGGATTTTTTAAAAGAAAGTATTTAAAGTTTTTTCTTTCGGTTGCCATGGCAACCAGAGTTCTGCATGGAATTAAATTCTTTGAACAATTTTTAAAGGTGACCACCAAAGGAACATTCCTGTGAAGTTTGGATGAAATTGGCTTGGTGGTTTATGAGGAGATGTCATTTAAAGTAAAAGTTTACGGACGGACGGACGACGGATATACGACAGACGGACGCAGGACAAAAAGCGATCACAAAAGCTCACCTTGTCACTTTGTGACAGGTGAGCTAAAAAGGCAAAAAATAAAAGAGGTAAGATAAGTTAACAAAAATTTACAAATTTCAAACCTCTTTATATCTCTTCTCCTTTTCAAAGACAATTTTCTGTTCCAATATGGCTACTGAATAAACCCATGACAACTTCAAACATAGCGGAATAATATGTTGTATTAGCCAGATAAATCTGAAAACAAACATTTATTGTCATAATTAACACATTTTATAAGGGGAGGTAACAAGTGCCTTAATTACATCAATTTCATTAGGAGATAACAAACCCTTCACAAAATAAGCTTTACTTATGGAGGTGAAGTTATAAATGTCTTAATAACATAATAATAGCAACAATAACTTTTACTCATCATTCATTTTTATAACAAGTACAAGTTGTTACTAAATCACTCATAAATTACTAAATTAATGTTTTCATTATTATAAATTGAATTGTACATGAAAAGTCCAAAACATTTTAGAAGGTCTAAGACAGATTAAAACATTTTTATTGATTAATGTAGCTTCAATGTAATTATCAAAATATTGAATTCCAACAATAACAGAGTATCAAGGGAGACAACTCACGCATCCCACAGCCAACACGGATATGGCATTCTGTGTAGGAAAGTTCCTGGTCTGGTTACCGGCTTTCCAACCTGTATCTCAATAATTGCTCTCTCTACCAGGTCCTGTATGAATAAAGTTCCTGGACTGGTTACCGGTTTTCCAACCTGTATCTCAATGCTCTCTCTACCAGGTCCTGTATGAATAAAGTTCCTGGACTGGTTACCGGCTTTCCAACCTGTATCTCAATAATTGCTCTCTCTACCAGGTCCTGTATGAATGAAAGTTCCTGGACTGGTTACCGGCTTTCCAACCTGTATCTCAATAATTGCTCTCTCTACCAGGTCCTGTATGAATAAAGTTCCTGGACTGGTTACCGGCTTTCCAACCTGTATCTCAATAATTGCTCTCTCTACCAGGTCCTGTATGAATGAAAGTTACAAAATATGATTACAATAATTCCAGTATCAGTGATAGTCACATTGTAATCTTAAAGGAACTCAACTGAGGTCCAAAAAGCCTAAAACCAGAAAATCTGAATTTCTTATATACAGTAGAAAGCTTGGCAAACTGAAAATATATTGTAAAAGATAAATAAAATTATATAAAGAAATAAATTGAAACTTGTATTTTCGAGCTATTCACAGCACAATATGAGTGAAAAGCATTGCATCACTTTTTAATTTGAGTTATTTTGCACAATAAGAATAATTATTTTGGAAAAACGGAATGAGAGAATGATATAAAATTTTGCACACAACTTATTGCTCTAGACCTTCATCAAATGGAAAATTAATCTCGAAAAATTATTTTCAGCCTCCTCATATCAAAAACTTCAGTGGAGTCCCTTTAAGACACATATTAATAATATCTGTCATATGTTGTGGTTCGGACCGGAATATCTGTCCCGAGAGGACCGGCCCATTGGGCGGTCACGAGGCTTGCCATGGGCGGATTCCTGATATGTCAGATATTTTTTCTTGCATATTCTGCCATATTATTACATATTTAAAATGGTTAACCTCAATGATATAATGTTCATGGAAATTAAAGTCATTTCATCAATAACTATTTTCTTACAATAGCGTATGAACTCACAACTTAAATAACAACGGCGAAATGACGTCATCCTAAGCACATATTTCCCTTCTAAAACGACATCATTTAAAAGCGGTTCATTCATAAAGTGCGTTAAAATGACGTTGTTGGTTGGCAGGCGACTCATCTGGCACTCTCATTTGTCTGATCTTTTAAAGGACATGTGACGGCAGTGTGTCCATGTGATAATTAAAGTTCTCGAAAACCAGCCCTGAAATATAACAATAAAAATATGCTATCAGTTATTATGATAAAATATATACTTGTATATAAAACATTAAGAAATTACACTGCTTTATAAGGTATTATAAACATTACATCACATGCTCTAGACAAAATAATTTTCTATGAAAAACAAGCAATTATCATAGTATTGCAAGCAATCCATAAGTCCCCTACCGGTATCCAAGCAACATTCTGAAGGGCCATTGGCCATTCACTTATGTTTCTATTTTAAGTAAATTTGTTGAAAAAGTTCTTTAAAAGTGATCACAGGAAACAGTTTTTATGTACAGACAGACAGATGGACTGAAGAAAACTCTAAAGTTATTTTTTAAACATCCCTGTTATCAAAATATAACATTTTTAAAAGCAAAAATTTTTAAAAAGGAGATAACGATGTCATACATGATGTGAGTGTAACAAAGAACAATTAGTAATGAAGGTATAAATATTGAATGTTTATTTTGAATTTGAAGTAAATGAAAGTTAAAAGAACGAATAGGAAAAATTAAAAGTTTAAGGAGGAGATAATTCTGGAAATATGGATGCTAGATTTAAAAACCTTGTCATATTATTATGATGTGGGAGTTTGAAGAAAATCCTATCATGATTGAAGAAGTTGGGGTAAAAATTACCAATTTCTCAAAAAAAAATCTAAGTTCAAAAGGGGAATAATTCTGGAAATAGTCTTGCTAGAGTATTGAACACTCACAAATGTTGAGTGATAATAAGAAACATTTATATGAAGTTTGAAGTAGATACATTCAGAAAAAAAGAAGTTATTAAAAAAAAACAATGTTTTTTCCATGAAAATTTTAAGTTAAAGGGAGGTAATTTCTGATAAATTTTGTGCTAGAGTTGTAAACCTTGTCACATATGATGTGGTTGATGACTAGCAACTTATATTTAAAGTTTGAAGAAAATATCTTAAGAAATAAAGAACTTAAAGTGAAAAAACTTAAAAACTAGAATCAGATATCTTGAAATTCAGTCTATTTGTTGCCATAGCAACCAGAATTTTCAACATAGGAAGATAAGAAAAGGATGTGCATAATTCCCATACTGCCATCTACCCATATGTCAAGTTTCATAAAAATATTTTCAGTACTTTTTGCGTTATCACTGGATCCAGGTTATGTGTAAAATTTGGCATATTTTCAGTCTATTTGTTGCCATAGCAACCAGAATTTTCAGCATAGGAAAAAAAGAAAAAGACGTGCATAATTTTCATACTGCCATCTATCCATATATCAAGTTTCATAAAAATATTTTCAGTACTTTTTGCGTTATCGCGGGATCCAGGTTATGTGTAAAATTTGCCATATTTTCAGTCTATTTGTTGCCATAGCAACCAGAATTTTCAACATAGGAAGAAAAGAAAAAGACGTGCATAATCTCCATACTGCCATCTATCCATATATCAAGTTTCATTAAAATATTTTCAGTACTTTTTGCGTTATCACTGGATCCAGGTTATGTGTAAAATTTGGCATATTTTCAGTCTATTTGTTGCTATCATTCCATAGCAACCAGAATTTTCAGCATAGGAAAAAAAGAAAAAGACGTGCATAATCTTCATACTGCCATCTATCCATATATCAAGTTTCATAAAAATATTTTCAGTACTTTTTGCGTTATCGCGGGATCCAGGTTATGTGTAAAATTTGCCATATTTTCAGTCTATTTGTTGCCATAGCAACCAGAATTTTCAACATAGGAAGAAAAGAAAAAGACGTGCATAATCTCCATACTGCCATCTATCCATATATCAAGTTTCATTAAAATATTTTCAGTACTTTTTGCGTTATCGCAGGATCCAGTTTTGTGGACAGACGGACTGACGGACGGACAGACGGACGGACAGACAGACGGACAGACGGACGGAGGGTAAACCTAAAGTCCCCTCCGGTAAACCGGTAGGGGACTAATAACAAAGAGCAATAACTCCAACATTATACAAAATAAAGTGGTGGTTCTTTTTCACTTCTTTATGAGATTTATCCACCAATTAAGTTTTATAACTTTTGAATTATGCCACAGTAAAAAAAAAAGAATGAAAAAAAATACAAATGGTTATTAAGCCAAAATTATGCAAAAGGGAGTTGTGATTCTTGTGTACTGCATTTTTGTAATAATATCTATCCATCTATGAAGTTTCAAAAGAAATAATTTTTAGTTCTACCTCAGCATAAATTGAGTATGAAAAATTGCAAAGGGCAAATTGCTAAAAATTAAGCAAAAGAGTTATTTATCTTGAATTATGCACTCATTCAAAATTTGCTTATCTATAAAGTTTAAGTTTCCATTGCTTGTTGAGATATGCTCTGTACAAAAAATAAAAATAAATAAGCAAGGGCAATAACTCCAATTATATGTAACAGAATTATTATTCTTAAGCAAGAAACTAGAAGATGTTTATCATTCTAGGAAGTTTCAAGTTGATATCCCAAATAGCTTTTGAGTTATGCTCTAGACAAATAAAACCCTGACATCTTCAGGGTCCGAATTTAGGCACGCAAACACGCTAATAGCTATAAAAGTCACTCGCATATATTAGCGAGTGAATGAAAAAGGACCCAAATATATAAAAGCCTTCTTTTCAATAAATGTTTGTGAAAAATTTGAAACAAAACTTATAAAGCCTCAAAATAAAGATAGTCACGCGCATTTTCGCTGTAAATACAATTGCGGAAATCGGATTGTTTGGGGGTTGCCCATTTTTTGGGCATGTGCGTGAAAAAATGACGTCAATCGGTACCCGCGACTACGATTGGTAGATAATTATGTAACCGTCTCTGATTGGTCTTTATAAATAGACATGTTCTGGAAAATCCGATTCCCGTTATGCTTGATTTTTTTGCACCTGCAGACAGTGTATCTAAGGTATTTATATTTAATTACATTTACTGTCTATTTATTAACCAGAATGGAAAGATCATTATGTAGTTATAAATATGGTCTTGCCCCTTTCTGTCCATTCTGTTTATCTTGTAATGTCCAATCTTTTATATGGTCTTGGGAGTGGGTGGGGGTGCAATAAAAACTGCCTAGCTAGGCTACTGTAGGGAGGGGTATCGCCAATTTTATTTTTTTTTGGTTGTAGAAACTGCCTAGGCCCACATTTATTTAAGAAGGCTATCACCAGCATTTACATTCTATTTCAACATTACATGATCCATGACATTATTCTCTCATAATGAGGTCAGTTTTTTTCAGAAGCTTATGACTGTTGTCATTTATAACAACCACCTTATCCTATGCCTCATGTGAACTTGCATTATCAACTATGAAACGCATCAAAAGTGACTGGAGATGTTACCTTGGTGGGGATATGATGGACACTCTTATGACAATTTCTGTTGCCAACATCAGGTTCAAAGACTTTGATCCTAGACCAGCAGTCAGGAGATGGTGGCTCAATGGTCAGAGAAAGAAGAGGCCAACTACCACTCCATATGGCCCAAGAACTTGATATGATTTGTACATCATATGTTAATAAATTTGCGTTCTCAATTTCTGCTAGTCACTTTTCATTTTAGCTAGTAAGCATAAAATTCACAAGCTAATTTTAGCTAGTAGTAAATATTGCTAAATTCGAACCCTGACATCTTAATGGATAGACAAGCTGATTCCCTTACAAATTTAATACACAGAAAATATTATTCTGCATTCACAAACCAAAATACATTTGTATGTTAAAAAAATTAATAACAAACCTGCTACAACTGTGAAATTATCCTGGAACTGTCTGTTTAAGAAATAATATTCTAGTTCATCCTCAGTACTGAACCCAGCAAAGATGTTCATATTCACCAGGTTTAGCCATGCACAGGCAATGTTGTCCAGAAATGAGAACACTTGGCTCAAGGTTGAAATTTCCTCTGTGTTCATTCCAGCAAGGTTTCCACTCTGAAATAAATTTTCCCAGTTTAACAATGAATAAATTTCAAGTTATTACAGACTAATACATTGACTGTGTTTAACAATGAATAAATTTCAAGTTATTACAGACTAATATATTGATTGTGTTAACAATGAACAAGAATTTGTAACAGAGTTACCAACGTCCCCCGCCCCGGGAGTTTTATATGAAGCATAAAATTGTGCTATTTCAAAAGATTGAGGTATGGATCTCAGGACATTCAGTCCAAAATTATGATCAATGCTAGATCTGCAAATGTAACAATAAATTTGTCAAAAAAATAAAATGAAACACGGAATTTAAAAATCTATCATGTTAGCTTTGACCTCTAAGTGTGAACTTGACCTTGGAGGTAGGGGAGCAGGTGTTGTGCATGACATAACGTCTTATTATTGTGACTATTTGTGCCAAGTTATTTCAAAATCCCTTGAACTATGAAGAAATTCTAGATTCAACACAAAATATACCCTATAACAGACTATGTTGATTTTTGACCTCTAAGTGTGACCTTGACCTTGGAGGTAGGGATGCAGGTGTTGCGCATGACACATCCTCTTATTATAGTGACTATTTGTGCGAAGTATTTTCACAATCCTTTGATCTATGAAAAAATTATAGACCTGACACAAAATATACCCTGTAACAGACTATGTAAGTATTTGACCTCCAAGTGTGACCTTGACCTTGGAGGTAGGTGACCGGATTTTGCGCATGACACATCATCTGATTATTGTTAACAATTATGGCAAGTATTTACAAAAGTCCTTCATAGATAAGAAAGTTATGGACTGGACACGACATATACCCTCAAATAGACAATGTTGACCTTGAATGAACAAGTACGACCTTGACCCTGAAGGTACGGGTCTGGTTGTTGCGCATGACACATTGTCTTATTATAATAAACATTTGTGCCAAGTTATCTCAAATTCCTTTGATAAATGACAAAGTTATGGACCGGACCACGAAATATACCCTGTAACAGACTATGTTAATATTTGACCTCCAAGTGTGACCTTGACAGTTGAAGGTAGGCAACTGGTTTTTTTGCGCATGACACATCGTCTGATTATTATGAACAATTATGGGCAAGTATTTACAAAAAACCCTTCATAGATAAGAAAGTTATGGACCGGACACGAAATATACCCTGTAACAGACTATGTTAATATTTGACCTCCAAGTGTGACCTTGACCTTGATGGTAGGTGACTGCTTTTTCCGCATGACACATCGTCTGATAATTGTGAACAATTATGGCAAGTATTTACCAAAATCCCTTCATAGATAAGAAAGTTATGGACAGGACACGAAAATATACCCTGTAACAGACTATGTTAATATTTGACCTCCAAGTGTGACCTTGACCTTGAAGGTAGGTGACTGGTTTTGCGCATGACACATCGTCTGATTATTGTGAACAATTATGGCAAGTATTTACAAAATCCTTCATAGATAAGAAAGTTATGGACCGGACATGAAATATATCCTGTAACAGACTATGTTAATATTTGACGACCTCCAAGTGTGACCTTGACCTTGAAGGTAGGGTGACTGCTTTTTCCGGCATGACACATCGTCTGATAATTGTGAACAATTATGGCAAGTATTTTACAAAAATCCTTCATAGATAAGAAAGTTATAGACCGGACACGAAATATACCCTGTAACAGCCTATGTTAATATTTGACCTCCAAGTGGTGACCTTGACCTTAAAGGTGGGTGACTGGTTTTTGCGCATGACACATCGTCTGATTATTGTGAACAATTATGGCAAGTATTTACAAAATCCCTTCATAGATAAGAAAGTTATGGACCGGACACGACATATACCCTCAAATAGGCAATTTTGACCTTGAATGAGCAAGTGTGACCTTGACCCTGGAGGTAGGAATCTGGTTGTTGCGCATGACACATCGTCTTATTATAATAAACATTTGTGCCAAGTTATTTAAAATTCCTTTCATAAATGACATAGTTATGGACCGGACACGAAAGTGTGACGGACGGACAGACGGACGGACGGACGGACAGACGGACTGACGGACAGACGGACGGACGGAGCCTATTTCTATATCCCCCTTTTTTCTTCGAAAAGGCGGGGGACAATAAATTTCAAGTTATTACAGACTAATACATTGATTGTGTTAACAATGAATAAATTTCAAGTTATTACAGACTAATACATTGCCTAATTTGGGGTTTAGAAAGGAGAATTTTTCTCTATGCTTTTACCAGTCTCTATTTAAGCCTAATACCATGCTACATGTATATATGTACTTTTGATATCTTTTAATATACATAAAGAACAAAAGACATGAAAAGGTGCCAAATAAAATCTTAAATGCCATAGGAACAATGCTACAATAAACCTGGAAAATGAAAGATTCCTTGAGAGCACTTAAAACTAAACAGGTAAAAAAGAAGATTGATTGAGATGAAGTATTGGGCACCATTTTATAGCTAACAGTTTACAAATTGAGTGTTCTAAAATTAATATATATATATATATATATGCCTTGTCAGAATGCACACACTTGCTTGATTCTATACTGTAACATGAACAAAGTACATTTGTAAAGAATTCTAACTGGTAATATGTCCAGAATGATACACTTGATTTATCTTTACTGTAACATGAACAAAATACATTTGTAAAGAATTCTCACTGGTAATATGTCCAGAATGATACACTTGATTTATCTTTACTGTAACATGAACAAAATACATTTGTAAAGAACTCTAACAGTCAAGTTAGATAAAAGCCAGCCAGATGAACAAGAGCATATCCATTACCTGCTCTCCTAAGAAGAGGCATACAAATTGAAAGGGAAACAAAAACCACGAGAATTTATATGAAAAAATTAGTGACAATGTTTAAATGTGTCTATTAGATAAGGGCAGTAGATATGTTTAAGTGTGTCTGTTAGATAAGGGCGGTAGATGTAATGTTTAAATGTGCTTGTTAGATAAGGGCAGTAAATATAATGTTTAAATGTGTCTGTTAGATAAGGGCAGTAGATATAATGTTTAAATGTGCCTGTTAGATAAGGGCAGTAGATATAATGTTTAAATGTGCCTGTTAGATAAGGGCAGTAGATATAATGTTTAAATGTGCCTGTTAGATAAGGGCAGTAGATATAATGTTTAAATGTGCCTGTTAGATAAGGGCAGTAAATATAATGTTTAAATGTGTCTGTTAGATAAGGGCAGTAGATATAATGTTTAAATGTGCCTGTTAGATAACACGCCCGGCAAACTGTCGCTCCACTTCAAAATTGTGGTGTACGGTAAAACGAGCGAACGGCATTTCCGAGATAGAGCTGAAGATCGATTAAAACGCCTAATTGTAAGTATTGTTCATGTTTTTGTCTTGTTATTCATTTAAGTTGTATTTTTTTCAAAAAACGGAAAATGTAGTTCCGTGTAGGATTGATTTAGGCTTCCAATGATCTAAGCTGTTACAAAAAGAAAATTATATTAAGCCAGGGAGAACTTTTCTCCCTGACGAAGCGAACCACGATTTGTAGAATATTGAACTTCCCAACCATAGAAATGCCATACCCTTCAGATTTCTTGAAAAAGTGTATTAGTAAATTATCAACCCGTAATAAGAACTTGTCCTTCGTGCAAAATAAATTACTCCTGAAGGATTTCTTAAATTTGTAAATCGATATTTTTCGAAAGTAGTGGAGCGAAAGGGCAAGAGATGGAGCAAAAGGTTCGATGTTGAGCGCAAGGCGATATTATTTTGACGTATTAGGAGGAGCGTAGTCTATGATTTTTTATATATAAAAGCTATGGAAGTTAAAATAGACGTGATCAAGTGTTGAGACAGATATATATATACCTTTTAAAGACAACTAATTAAGTGTGATATCCTTTCAACGACTATAGCGTAATAAATGTAATCGCGAAGGTCATTGTGACAGAAAGTCATTGTGAACTGAACTCGGTAGTAGTGATCCATTTAATTTAATGTGTTCCATGCATTGCATAATTTTGTTTCTGTTCTGCACCTTGAATATCTAACTTTTCGAAAAACATAACATTTTGGCGTGAACAATCGCGTTACACGTCCCTGCTCGGAAACATTTGTTCGCGGTAGAACTGAAAATTTTCGATTTTGTCGAATTTGCACGGACACACGTTTTTAAATGTACATAACTGTGTGAAAAATCATGATTGATCTCGGAATAAGTGGCATCCTGTATTATGCCATGCATACATGTGTATGATTCAATGGTCGGGCCTCATCCAAATTTCGAACATAAATAATGGAATCTACACGGCAGCCATAGGTGACACCTTCACGATTACATTTATTACGCTATAGTCGTTGAAAGGATATCACACTTTATTAGTTGTCTTTAAAAGGTATGTATATTTCGGTCTTAACACTTGATCATGTGTATTTTAACTACTATAGCTTTTATATATAAAAAATCATAGACTACGCTCCTCCTAATATGTCAAAATAAGATCGCCTTGCGCTCAACATCGAACCTTTTGCTCCATCTCTTGCCCTTTCGCTCCACTACTTTCGAAAAATATCGATTTACAAATTTAAGAAATCCTTCAGGAGTAATTTATTTTGCACAAAGGACAAGTTCTTATTACGGGTTGATAATTTACTAATACACTTTTTCAAGACATCTGAAGGGTATGGCATTTCTATGGTTGGGAAGTTCAATATTCTACAAATCGTCGTTCGCTTCGTCAGGGAGAAAAGTTCTCCCTGGCTAAATATAATTTTCTTTTTGTAACAGCTTAGATCATTGGAAGCCTAAATCAATCTTACACGGAACTACATTTTCTGTTTTTCGAAAAAATACAACTTAAATGAATAACAAGACAAAAACATAAACAATACTTACTATTAGGCGTTTAAATCGGCCTTCCGCTCTATCTCGGAAATGCCGTTTGCTCGTTTTACCGTACACCACAATTTTGAAGTGGAGCGACAGTTTGCCGGGCGTGGATAAGGGCAGTAGATATAATGTTTAAATGTGTCTGTTAGATAAGGGCAGTAGATATAATGTTTAAATGTGTCTGTTAGATAAGGGCAGTAGATATAATGTTTAAATTTGAATGTTAGATAAGGGCAGTAAATATAATGTTTAAATGTGTCTGTTAGATAAGGGCAGTAGATATAATGTTTAAATGTGTCTGTTAGATAAGGGCAGTAGATATAATGTTTAAATGTGTCTGTTAGATAAGGGCAGTAGATATAATGTTTAAATGTGTCTGTTAGATAAGGGCAGTAGATATAATGTTTAAATGTGAATGTTAGATAAGGGCAGTAGATATAATGTTTAAATGTGTCTGTTAGACAAGGGCTATAAAAACATCCTTTGTTACCTTTACTTTGATTCAATCCATCTAAAATAAACAACAATAAAATGCTCTTCCACAATGAGATTATGTCGCTAAATGATGGCAACAATATAGGTACACCTGTCACACTAACAGTTCAATCTAACTAACTGCACACATAGGAGTAAAGTTTTATATACTGTATATATAATAATTACACTTTGAATAAAGTTCTGGAAGAAAAAGGGTTAAACAGTATCGGAACTTAAACCAGAATAATTCAATATGTATAAAATAAAGATATACATGTAAATAACCATTAATTACCAGAGATTGTGAGGAAGTTGTATCATCTGTGCTACACAACTTGTCAACATCAGAACTTGGCACATCTTGTATGCTTGGAACATAACTTGTTATACTGTCCATTAACAAGTTAAAGGGAAATTCTGAAAAATATTGAGTAAAAGATATTTAAAATCTTACAGGAACTTGACTCAGAGGTCCAATTTAAAATCTTACAGGAACTTGACTCAGAGGTCCAAAATATTAGCCAAAAATACATTAAATCTGTGTTTTCTCATATAGATAGAGTGTGGCAACCATAGGCGACAGCTTATAAGGGAGACAAAATACAGACATGTGCAGATAATGATAATTAAAACTGATTACCTTGAGAAATTAGATTGAAAAATTGGTATTTTTTGTGGCTTCATTCTGAGTAGTTTTGTTTATTTCTATGCTTTTCAATCGGGGTCATTTTTCACAATTTGAATATTAAGCTATAAAATAATTATGGAGTCAGTGAATGATCTGAAATTGTGCATCCAAGTTATAAGTCTAGACCTACATCAATGGATATTTATATTTTGTCATATCAAAATATTTAATCTGTCAAGTCCTTTTTACTGGTTCTTTGGAATTCTGAAAGTTTGATTTAATTATTATAAAATCTGAGGTACTTTTGGATAAAAGAAGATTCTGGTGACAGCAATTAAAGGACACCACTGTCAGGAACAAGTTTCCCTAGAAACCTGATCTTAAAACTAGGGCTGGGGCGAGTATCCGAGTACTCGGATAATCACGAATCAAGATAAAAAATCGAGTATGAATATTCGTCAACCAAGAGATCGTGGATCACGATCTTATTTGTTTATATAAATTAACTGTTTCTCACACAATAAAAGCCCCAAAAATGCCAATTTAGTATGGTTTATGCGATGTTTACTTAAATACAATTTGCCGAATAAAGACAGGAAGTAAACAAACAAATAGCATGATGCTGAGCTAGGAAGTCATTAGTTTCGAAAAAGGGATCACTTTATCTTTATTGAGCACTATGTGTTTACATGAAAATAAATAAATGTTTTTAGTAGTCGCTGTATATAGATTTATGATAACATGACATCTATCGAAGAAGGTTTTATCTTTAATAATCGGGATTCAAAAATTTCCGAAATTCTCAAGTTAGGTCAGCGTGACGTCTGCAACAATGGCTTAAAATGAGTCGCGCCAATATAAAATTTCACCAGCAAAATTTACTTCCAATGTTTGGAAACATTAAATTTGTCTGTTCATATTTTTGTTGTGCCTGTTCGGTCAGCTCACCCTGGTATGTTTCACAAACGGCCTTTTCCCCTTTTTTATTGAAATACCTAAGTAATTACCAATTTGCAGGTGGAATTTTTTATATCGGCGCGACCCCTTTCGAAAAACCTTTAAACCTAGTGTATATTTGTATATATGTTTAATGTTTAGTATTGTTTAAAGAAAATAAACATGTTTTCAGAACTTATATTCATGTTTTTATGGGTGTCTTGATAATAAAACATTCGTGGTTCGATTTGTGAATCGTAAGTGCTGAATCATGGATCGGATCTGATTGTCACTTATCAGATGATCCACACCCCTACTTAAAACATTAGGTAACTTTTGTCCCCCCTAGACACTTTAAAGCAGCAGATTTATGCTAATTTTCATGAAATTTTGAAAAATTATTAAGTGTAGTGAACTGAGAAAAAAGATTTCACATACAACCCATGTTAATAACAAAAGAGGTCAAAATAACCATAACTGCGTTAATAACACGGTAGAAGTACATGTATGGTGAAAAATAATGCAAATCAGTGGTAAATCTCACAATATAACATAATTTAAACTATGTAATTCATTTTAATATCTCCCTATTTCCCTGAAAATTTATCTAAATGTACACATGTACTTACAATGAGTCAATGACTTGATTATATCATGAATAAAGCTTAAATTATTTAAATTGATAAAATTAAAGATACAGCAAAAAAACAAAATGAAACTCAATTAAACAATTTCTTTTATACTTCCCTCTTACGCGGACAGTCAAATAAATTTGTCTTAAAGATTAAGGCAACAGGTAAAAAATCACATTATAATACAAAATCCACTTACAAATGGAGGCAGAGTAAATATAAAAGGGAAGTAACTCATTAATATTTGGAAAAACTATCCGTTTAGGAAGTCTCTATATTAGTAAAATTTCAACCTGGTGTTGTTTTTCTCGAATACATTCAATTCATCGCCACAGAATGGCTGTAGAAAGGGTTAAATCCCTGCAGAGGGAAGTGGTTTTGGTGAGTTATTAGTCCTGAAACGAAAGAAGAAAATACCATTATAGTTCTACAAATAGAAATCTACTTTATTTCTACAATTTTATCCCAAATGTAAGAACCATTTTAATGATTTTACACGTCTGATGTCTTGTTAATGTTGATTTTTGTCAAAGTAAGAATAAAATCCGCATATAAATCATATAACGTAATCATGATTAAACAAAATCACGGGGGACTGGGACTGTTACAAGAAGGATGGAGTTCTTATGATAACTTGTCAAAGAGTTCTTGTGATAACTGTCAGGGAGTTTGTTGGAAATCTTTGGTATATTATGCGGTTGTAGCGGCATTTGCCGTTGTGGTTGTGTTGAAGGTTGTGGTTGCGGTTGCTGTTATGTTTTTGGTGTCGTTTGTGATTGTGGTGGCGGGTGCAGTTGGGTTGGCGGTTGCGGTGATGGTTGCGGTTCTGTTGGCGCTTGCGGTTGTGGTGGCGGTTGGGGTGGTCGTCACAGTTTTGGTGGCGGTTGCGGTGATGGTTGCGGTTCTCTTGGAGCTTGCCATTGTGGTGGTGGTGTTGGCAGTTGTGGTGGTTGTGTTGGTTGCGGTGGCGGTTGTGGTTTTAGTGGCAGTGGTGGTACAGTGTTGGCAGTTGTGGTGATGGTGTCTGTTGTGGTTGCGGTTGTGGTTGCAGTGGCGGTTATGTTGGCAGTTGCGGTTGTGTTGGTGGTGGTGGTTGTGTTGGCGGTTGCGGTTGTAGTTGTTGTTGTATAGATATATATACACAAAATCCTTATTCGGTAGTGTGGCCGGACAGCCGGACGGACAAGCTGATTCCAGTATACCCCCCTTACAACTTTGTTGTGCGGGGGTATAAAAATGGAATTAAATACGTTTTTATCGTTATTGCTGACACTGGAAGACAAGTATGGATTTCACAATCTGTTTCATTTTTTTCCCGTTCAATTCGTTATTTTTACGAAAAGTAATGTAATAGCTTTTCTATACATAATTTTCAGATTTTTACTTGAAGAATACGAAAAGTCAGTAATGCATACGCTGTTGACTTTCTAATGTAATCTTAACAATAAATTACCACAACCAAATTTCAACAAAATGCTGCTTAATGGCTTTACTGCTACACAAAGAAATACGTTTATTTCCGTCATGGCTGATATTCGAAGATATTTATGAGTCTTTAAATCTGTTTCTTTTTTCCCCCGTGTATTACGTTATATTTACGTTAAATAGTGTAATGACTTTAATCAATGACATGTAACACTTAAGAAAACAAATTCATATCTTTATTCAAAAGATTTGTATTACAGCGCTTAATTACAACACGTTTACCATGAAACGCAACACATTTCATCTCAAACAATTTGACCGTTAACAGAAGTATTTGCTAATTAGCACCATTTTTAAGGTGCAGACAACCAAATTGCTTCAAAGAGGGGTGTTTTTCATAAATAGTGTTCGTTCAGTTTAAACAGTGCATAAATAACAAACATGTTAGTATTTGCTTAATATTATTATACTTTTGTGGATCATTTTTACTGTGAATAGTACTAGTTTAAATTTATCCTGTAATTTTTTAACTGTAAAATTTATTTTCTTATTTCTGCTGCCGGAAATATATAAGCAAATCGCTATATTCGTTAAAAGCATGAACAGTAGCAAGCAATTTGCTAACCAAATTACATTATCTTTTTAGTAATGATTGAAATATTTTATGCATTTTTAAAATTAAAAATAGTAATAATTGTTTGATGAAATTATTAAAATAGTAAAACAACATGCATGTAGAATTTGCTGTTCTTTCTATTTCCATTTTAAAACAGTAAAAAACATAAAATAATTTAATTAAACGTTACTTATAACAATTCCTTCCCCAATCAGAAAACCCCGTTAAAATCAAATGCAGCTACTGTTTATTTAGCGAAACAACAGCAATTTGGTGATTGGCAGAAAGTTTATCACGGGTGTTAAGTACCGATAATTAAATTACCAATGACACGTGGTTGATGTTTATTGGACAAGCGTTTTCACACCATTTAGATAATGTGATTAAGAGGAACATGTATTGACTTTAAGATTTTAGATAATTTTTATAACTTGTTATTGTCGAAAATATTGCTTTTGAAGCTTATTATACCAATACTTCACTCAAACTATGAGAACAAAATGTGTATATGAAATGTGAGACGTTATAAAACATTTTGGAGCCTGAATACGCCACTGATGATGGTCAAGTTTTCTATTACAAGTGTTAAAAACATTAAACACCCATGCCATACACGTGCACGATACGTTGCTAATTGCTAACAATTCTTGCGTAATTGATTACCTTTTGTCAATATCATAATTATGAAATATTTGGATTGCTTTTGATGAAATATTAAACAATGTATAGGCAACAAACAATTATTGAACAAGAAGCGCCGCAATGCGACGAAAACCAGGTTTTCAACGACCAAGTTTTGATGTAACAGCAATCAATAGGTCAAAGTTATTGAGTAGAAGCTGAAAATTCTATTGTAAGCCAGTGTTTTTTTTTCTTTATATAACTACTACCCTAAAAGGGTACTGTTCCCAATAGAAAATATACATTAAAATTCCCAATTTCCAATGTTTAAATTCCCAAAATGGTTATTCAAAATTCCCACAAGGCCAAGAAATTTCTCTGAAATCATTTAAATCCAACATATTCATATAAATCACCACTTCATAGTTTCCAACTTGACAGTGGAAGCTGTTAGCTATCTTTATTCATGATGATTAATCTTATTTGTAGCTGAAAAAATGCATTAAAAAATATTTCCACTATAAGTCAAAATAACGCATTTTTTCCCAATCAGTCTGGTACCGGCACCATTCCTAAAGTAGAGAAAAAAAAACGCTGTAAGCAAATGACCTTGACCTTGCTCCCAGATATCTAAGTGGCAATCCAAGGTAAAAGCAAACTCAAGTTATTGAGCAGAAACTGAATTTCTATTTTAAATAACAGTGACCTTGAACACAGACACCTGGGTTGCAATCCCAAGCTGCCTCTTGATATAAGCTACCTACACACCAAGTTTGGTGTCAATAGGCCAAAGCAAACTAAAGTTATTGAGAGGAAATTGAATTTCTATTTTTAGTAACAGTGACCTTGACCTTGATCACAGACACCTGGATAGCAATCCTAAGCTGCCTCTTGATATAAGCTATCCATACACCAAGTTTGGTGTCAATAAGCCAAAGCATTCTGAAGTTTTTGAGCAGAAACTGAATTTCTATTTTTAGTAACAGTGACCTTGACCTTGATCACAGACACCTTGGTAGCAATCACAAGCTGCCTCTTGATATAAGCTATCCATACACCAAGTTTGGTGTCAATAGGCCAAAGCAAACTAAAGTTATTGAGTGGAAACCAAAAGTTGACTCCCGCCCACCCGCCCGCCTGCCCGCCGACTTCAGCATTACAATAACCCGGTTTTCATTGAAAACCTGGTTAAAAAGTACACAATGATTAATGAAAGATAATAAATTAATAAAATAATATAATATGATAAAACTGTTATGATAATCCCCGTTGCGCAGAAATGTGTCCATTTCGCCATAATTTAAATATCTTTTACAATATCCTATTTTCAACATTTTCTAAAATAATAAAGTTTAAAATGTTATTATTGAAAAATTTATGCTGTTAAAATTATACAGCAGAGTGAACAGAAATAGATATAAGTGTATATGATTAAACATAGAAGTGGTGAGAGCAATAAGAAGAAGTAGTGAAAGATTGTCAAAAGAAGAGGGGCTTCAAAAGAGCTTGGCCCTTCCATCAGAGCCCAGAATCATCCTACAGGTATCCTACAGGTAAAGGAAAGTAAATCATTTTTAAAAGACTGTTACTTATTATTCTCAAATTCTTTAGTTATGTTCAAACATAAGATCTACCCGTTATGCAAATCTTCATTTTCCGTTGTGCCGAAATTATGTCCATTTCGCCGTCCATTTAGAATCTGATATATTCAGTACGCTACCTAATAAAATCAAACTTATACAGTATATGTAAAAAATATGTATAAAATATCAACAATACAAACTTATATGATTATTTTATGTTTTAGACATAATAAACAGTACACAGTTTTGAAATTAAAATCTCCGTTTCGCAATAATCCATCGGCGCAACGGAGTTTAGAAAGGTATAACAACTGTGAATGCAATGAATGTTTATAATAAAAAAAATACATAACATTGATTTTGTAATATCAACATATGACTTTATTTAGTATACACTAATGCAAATTCAATTAAAAGTACTTTGTTTGCTAGTTTTGAAAAAAATAAATCTCCGTTGTGCCAATGAATTTTTATGCAATGGAGATATGAGCGGTATTACAACAATACAATGCTTATAATATAGAAAATATTGTTTTTAGATGATTTCTATCAATTCAAAATATTATTTTATTCAGCACATACTAATATAAATTTAAAAATGCATTGCTAATCGTATTTTATTGCCACATTTTAAATTTTGCACTCCGTTGCGGCCGTTGCACCAATAATCTCCGCTGCGTATTTTAGTGGTACCACAAATTGGTCTACAATGAAGGTCAGAAATTTTGGGTTAAATACATGAAATTGTGCTTTATAACCCAAATTGTTTAGAGAAGGTAGGGTGAAAAATACAGAAATAACTCTTAGAAAATAGAAAAAAAATAATAGATCACAAAACGAGGGGTAATTACCCAATATACACAAAATGTTGTCTATTAAGCCCTGGTCCACCAAATTTAATTTTAATGATGTTTCCTTAGCTCAAAAATACAACAGTGAATTAAAATTAAGTTCTACGTCAGATGTTAAATTTACGATAATTTGGACAAGTTTTACAAATTAATAGACCTGAATAGATCTAATGATAAATCTATAAAATCGCGAAAATACATGACACTGAAACTATTGACACTTTATCTGTCAGTTAAGCCTATAAAATAATCAACTCGCTACATTAAACAGATATTCAAAGAAACCTTAATAATATTAACATTTTTACTGTTTGAAATTACCTGTCTGGTCCTTCATTCAAATGATTTTCATGCAAAGTTTTGAATCGTGTGGAGTTGCAAATGGTTTAGGGGAGACTGGGGCACTCTGGGACAAAAATCATAATTTTCAATCTCCAACTTAACATATCTTACGGATTGATGCTTTCTTTTGTGGATGAAAAGGACAATATGTACTGGATGTAGCAGATAACTAACTGAACCTAAAATAATTAAGTTGACTTTGAGATATACATTAGAATACGGTCATTAAAATGTCCCAGAGTACCCCGAGCTAGGGGCACTCTGGGACACCATATATGGTACAGTGGGACATGCTTGGGTACGTAGGACAACATGTATAATTTCATTGAAACAAAAATATTACTGGAATTGAAAATCTGCGGTTGTTTCAAAAATCTAGATGTTCCAGTGCACGTTTAATGTGGAATTCTGCTTAAGCCGCTGGGGGCGGGGGAGGGGGCGGTTAATTGCACTTTCCATTACTGTTTATGAACAGGCTTGAAATCAAACTGAGCCTGCAACATTTTCAATTTTGCTGTTTTGGGCTTTCTGTAGGAATTCTATTGAAATTTCTCTTTTTTTATTTTAATTTTGATAGGTGCGTATAGTCACACTTGGTTTGTCCAAGCATGAATCATTGCCATCTTAATGAATGACAAAGTTAGGAAAATATAATCTAAATTCATTCATTTGACGTTCATTGTCATTTAAAGG